TTTATTTCAACAAAAAGTACTTCTTATCCTCGAAATACAGATAAGTTATTCTATGATATGAATATGAATAATTAATACTCTGAACTGTTTGACACTGATATACATATACAATTCATATAAAATAAACAATGGAGTTATTTTAAAGCATGTTTGAAAGTATTATTACCTCTCTAATTATTAATTGATTAAACATATCAACATAAAATATTTATTTTTAATATGCATACTCAAACAGCTATTAGATAAATTACATTTTAGGATCATAGACATAATAAAAAGAATATTATAACGAAATCAATTGACGCTTCATTAATTCGTAGAACTATGTGAACTTCGGATAAATGTACATGTCAGTTTTCGGTTCACCTAGTTATTTCTTCTATTTCCGGCAGTCGGAAATTCGACGATGTGAGCACACAATTCTTGTAACGTCGTACGACTTCTTCGAGCTACCATTACCATTCCCTTGCATATCTCCCGGGGAAGTGGTTTTCCCCACAGCAGAAATAGCACTTTCTTTGCTGTCGGGTGAAAAAAGGTACGCGTAGAAGGCAGAAGGGAATTTGAAGGTGCTGCGGCCAGTAAGTGTTGGTGCGCCTAGGCGTTAGCATGCATCTAATAACAATTCTGTTCTACTATATTTATCTCTTTACTGTATCGTCTTTCTCGTTGCTGTAAACTGTGAGCGCCCGAATTTCTGCTTTGTTTGAAAGTGAAAATCCCTGTTCTATATTTAACAATGATGTTGGTTTATCATTTACAATTAGCTCGTTGCATGCATAAAATCGATCTTAACCAGCGGTGTGTAGCAGATTTATTAAGGATAAAATAATACAATAACATTGTACAATGTTTGCACGCAGTATCGCGCGTATAGTATCGCGCAATTAATTTCACGAAAGATTGGTTATTACATCACCGCGTTTACTTCAATTAATACTATCAACTGCAGTACGATTGGAAAGGTGTCATAATTATAATCAACCATTATCTAATCATTTCTCGTAACTTTGATATAATCTGTCCCTCTCAAGATACATAATTCAACGAATACTATCATTAATTCAAGTAATGTAATCCATTTCGTATCGAACAAAATTAAGGAATTAGATAGATGTACATATTCTGTTTTTTTGGAAACAAGAAAAATATTTTCAAAATATATTTGAATAAAATACTGTCGTAATTTTGCACGCATCGCTTGTAGTGCACTTGTATATATATACATACATGTAGTTCGTACACGGGACAAGCAATGAGGTGTTGAAACAAGGATACCTATCCGTTCAATGAGTATAGTGTTATAGAATTCAATGAGAATAGTGAGGCTGCTTGAAAATTAATCTTCAGCCACAATGACGAAACGAGGTTCTGTAGATAAATCATGGACAAGTGGTAGCACGTGCCATTACCTTGGTGACAGAATTCCAACACTCGTACAGGGTGAGTCGAAATTAGCGATACAACAGGAACGGGCTGATTTTAGAGTTAATAGTAATAGAATAAATTTCTTTTTTTTTCAAGTAAAGCGTTGTTTTTGAAAAGTAGATACTTCATTTAGTATATCTTGCTACAAATTTTCTGTGTAAAAAACTTTATTAGCAATTGGAATATTTGCATTGCAATCGCGTAAACTTTCTTTAAAAACATCAAATACAGTTGTCTTAGAAGCTTTTTTACTTTTTATTCAGTGCTTGGTAAGAAATCCCTATAAATTCACTCGGTAACGTATTTTTTAATAATTCATATGATTATCAGCAATTTACGATAATAAACAAATCGTTGAAGGATCTGTAGCTTTAACACGTAATACACGTGTATTCATTATTTCAATGAAATATTAGAGTTTACAAAAAATAGGTCGATGCATACACCGTTCGATATCCTCAACAATGTCAATGTTTTTTTTAACAAACGATAAATTGTAGCGCCTATCTAAGAAACATTAGGCAATATAAACACTAATACAAGGTGTGCCCTTAAATTATGAAGAATTCGTTGCATTATTCCGACTTATTTTGAGCGATACTGCAGTTGTAGCCTGGCCTAGTATAGATACCATGAAAGTATACCACAAAGCACCTTGTACGCCTTGAGTTTTCGTGACTACAACTGTTTGCTCATGATCACATTCTTTGAAGAAAGCGAAAGTCAGACATTTACAGCTAGCTAAACGTTTCGTCGGCTTTCACTGGGCTTTAAGCTAAAAAACAAGAAGGAACATAGGCGAAAAATAGAAACGGAAATGTCAGCGAGATGTTCCTTTTGCGTTTCGTGCAAATGCGTTGGACAACTTGCCGTAGAAAGTGAAATTGGAGAGCTTCCAAGACAATCGGAAAAAACAGCATTCAGCTCCAACATTGTATTCTTACTTGCGAACTACTCTATTCCTGCATTTTCATTCTGGATGATATGACAGAGACAAAAAATGTTATATTATACACAAGTATTCGTGGTCGTCATACACTTATTAACTACGTTTTATAACGCGCGTAAAAATTTTATTCGTATTTTAAACGTTCAGAGATCAAACGCTGTCTACATACTTACAAGCTTAAATAAATTTATATGAAAATTTATGAAAAAAGAACTCCGGATAGGTTGAATTCGACAAGATAAAAGAAAGAGGTCGATGAGTGTCTGAAAAGTTTTCTCAACGAAGCAGAGACCGGAGATAAATGTAGAAAACGTGATCACTAAGAGATCACAGGGCCCATAAATTCCTCATCTGATATATGAAGTGTAAAAAAAGTGCCAATTAAAAGAAAATGAGGAGGCTATGAATTAGTCATCACAAATGATTGAATATTAACGATATTAGGTTCGTGTATATCAAGTGTTGTTTAGCGTTGTTTTTGAATGTATGCATATTATTTACGTATTTAGGTAGCTCAATAATAAAATGCAATTGACGATAATAGGGATATTTCTGAAAATAGTCTAAGATCAACAGCAAGAGAAATAGCACTTCAAACGAGGCTAAACCATTCTACCACTGCGTCACTTAGCTCAAGTAGCAAAAGTGAAGATGAATATGAACTGAACGCATGAAGTCCGTTTTCATATAAATTATGCGATATAACAGAAACTTCGACGAGTAGAGATGGCCACCTTGTTACTTCGAAGGAAGAAATAGGATTCGATTTAAATTATACTGCTACTCGTGGTTTCAAAACGTTCCAAATTGTGCCGAATATATGTACAAATATATTGTATGTATATATAACAAAAAGTTCGAATCACTTTGAAAATGATTTAGACAAATTGAGGAAAAAAAATTCATAGCTAAATTTTTCGATAATTAGATCATTTAGTTTTTATGAAATATCTGTATAATATAATCCTGAAGATAGATGGACAGGATTTACCGCAATGCGGAATATCCGTTACTATTTTCGTTGTAACTATGTGCCTATGCATGTGAAGAAACCACCGATAATCGAGTACTTGAAATTAAGAATTTTATTTGCGTGACATGTTTCATTCAACTACGATTTCATCACAAATTAAAAGTACTGCATAAGAAATGAAATATTCCATCTGCAGTAAATGTTTTAATTAGTTTTCATTCTTGAGATTCTAACTTTGAAATGTTGTCACAAAAATATTCGCCTATTAAAATTAGCCAATTTTTAGTTAACAACTCTTTTTCTTCCTGATAGGGATTCTTTCGGACGCAATAACAATGATATTTTTACGTTTCCATACGGAGCTAATTTCACAGATGACTCAGCTTGCAAGGTTCATTGACGTGGACCACCTCGATTTCAGCAGCTATTTTTATAATCCAAACTTTGTTTTTGATCGGAACAATGTTTCATTCATTTAATCGTAATCTCCTCAAGAATTTCCGTATCACAAAACACAGTTTACTTGTCAATTAATAGTACAATTCTCTCTGAAATCCGCTAAAAACTATTTGTTCCATTGCCATCGATTCGAGAGCTCGTTGTCACAACAGAGCAATGTAATTGATACAATATTTTGATAGAAATACAAATGTTTCTATTACGTCTATTCAAAATCTGTTTCATCCCTGTGTATTGAAGTATTTGTTATTAACTAGCCCGAGTGAAATATAATTTGTTATAATTGTTATAATAAATAAACTGTGCATATGTATTTATGCCAATCGATGTCTGTATTGATCTACCGAATGGGAAATTGTTTTCAAGAGGATTCTAAAAATTATTTTAAGAACAAAGGGATAAACGGGGGGAAGTTAAAAAACATATGCTACGGAACACGTAATGTGGCTAAACTGACGATATACGACTTACAATGGCGCAGCGGAACAAGCAATAGCGGAACAATAAAGTAATAATAAAGCGATAATAGCCGGAATATGAGTGGTCATAAAATGTTTTGGAAACTTGGTAACGACAACGATAAGCATGCTAAGTTGCGGGCAAGCAGCACGATACCATCGTACGCGAGAGCTTAGAAGCATAATTTCTCGAGACTGCGTATAAAGGCGTGCCAATATAAACCGCAAGCTTCATTTGTTGCTCGAAGGCTTGCGGCCGGCTAGCTAGTACCAACGCGACGGGGCATCGTTCAGTATTTTCGCTGGTACAGACCGGTACATGAGTACATACTTACAGTGTTTGTGCGCGTGCCACGCAACGCGGAAAGGTCAGCACCTACGTACGCCCCTCTTTATTAACGATTTGTATCGTGTTCACGCACAAATTGTCACTAATACGCAGCCCCAAAGCAAATCGATCCTTATCACGTTTACCCTAATATCCGTTTTATATTCGGAAATGTGTAAAAGCTGTTTCTCTTATTTGATATCGTAAAAATTTAAGTTCGGTAGCTTCTCTTTCTACAATGGATCACGCAAATCTATTTGTAATACGGTGTATCGCTTTTTGATAATTGCAACGATATCTAATTTGATTTGAAAAATATTTCACTACCTCTGACGTGTGTTGAGATAATTCTTCTTTCGCTATAAAAGAACGATATTACAGTCGATCAATGTAGATTCCATAAACTATGTTTCAGATTACGACTGGGATGAATTTGTCCGTACCCTATCTGGATAAAGAGATGCAAGTACAATGTTTCGACTGGAAATCTTTCGAGTTCATCCTGCAATAACGGTATTGTTATTTCGGGCAATTTCTATAATTTAATAGGAAGTTTATTTGAACTTTTATGAGAAAAGTACGGAATATCGAATACTTTTAATTAATAAAATGTTATAAATGATTAATGTAGGAAATGTATCGTAGCAATGTAAAGTAAAATTAATAATATTACGACAAAATCACCTTTTATAAGTAACGTAATATTCGAATGTTTATTTTTCGTTATTAATTGTTTTTTATAGTGGTTATGGTGGAATGAAAGAAGAAGAATGCAGCACGGCAGAGGAGGCTAGATGAGCATCAATTTTCAGAGAGGTGCACGTGCAGATTACCCAGAAGTTATATATAAGGCACAAACTCGTACATATCTGAGAGAGAGCGGAAGTGGAAAACGCGTGCGTGAAAGAATACGCGGTCCATATCTGGCCCGCCATTTTGGCGGCATGGTCCTTTGGGCCACTATACTATTCCTACAAGGAGCTGGTTTTGTAGGTATGCCCTACTTTATTTAATACGTTTGCTTCGATTGTAATATTTTTCGAATAAATAATCATATTTGCCAGTTAAAATTTCGTACATATAGCTACTCTCGCCTTTCTTTCTTTTTTTTCTTGCTGACTCGAAACTACTATCAGCGAGTAAAATTCATTTCGTCTGCCAGATAAAATTGCTGAAGTCATTCCGATAAAATTCAGTCTAAACGCAACTACGAAAGTATAAATGCTTTTCGCTATATTGCTTTGTCTTTTCTCGATGTAATACAATTTTTTCCTTTGATGCTCGAAATCTCATGAAAACATGGCTCGATAATACAGTTATATAAAATATCACAAGCCTTTCCATTTCGAGGAACCGTTATTTGATTGAGAAGCGACGGACCCTATTTATCGAGGATCCCGTATTGAGAATCTTTCTCAGTTCGAGAAACATATTATAGTATTATATACGAGGTAATCAACGTAACTTTATTATCTTCGTTGTTTGTCTATTTTCGTCAAATTCAATTTCACTAATTTAATCAATTTTAAATTTTCTTCTTTTTAGTACTCTAGTTCAAAGAGAACGATAGTGAGACTATAATATTGTACACTTTGCAAATTTTCAAGGCTATTTTCTATTCTTTGCCATGATGGAGAGCATAGTAACGAAGAAAAAAATTCTCTCGTCCATCACTTTCAATGTTCTTTTAGATGCTAAGTCTAAATTAATGTCCGCTTTCTACAAAAACGATGATAAGTATCGCGATTCCTTGTTCGTCATGCTTTCGTCATTCGTCATTGCAGCATGTTTTCTAATGAATTGGGACATCTATGTAAACTTTATAAATTTCTTTCAACATGTCCTATAAAAGATATTGAGAAAAGCAAGGTCAGAAGACTGAGCTAACCAGTTTACGAGACCACTGTGACCGATTCAACAGTAAGGAGACATATGGTTAAAAATTTGGTATATCGAACAACCGTCACACTTGCATCCTAATTTCTGTCGATAAAAAGACCCATAGTACTACTTGTTGTTTAGTTGTTATTTATTCCATATTGAATCTATAATGTATTCATAAAGTGTTTGCTTCTCCAGGATCGGTGACAGGTATTCCCGGTGTTCCGGAAAATATAACGGTGATGTTCCTGAATCCGACGTCTGTCCGCGTTTCTTGGAGCACCAGCCAGGTCGAACAAGTTGAAAAATACGACGTCATGTACAAGCCAACCGATGCGAGGTGCGTTTGGAGATTTGGGTATTCCACATATTTTCGTTCTTTTGCATGTACTATCGGGAAGTAGCATAAGTACTGTTGCAACTTCTAAATAAGGAAACAGGAATCCAAGGCATGGTTTTAAAACTGATGCTAGTTCTAAGACTAATATCGTACGACAGCTTTTTTATATATTTTTCATAATAAGTTTATATAATATACTTCGCGATCATGCATGGCATGACATTTTGAAATTTTCGTGTATTTCGCAAATATCACGAGCGAATACTTTGATTCGTTTATCAATTGGTATCAGTCTTTTGATGTCAATTTTTTAAGGAGGACTTAATGTTAATTGATGCTTTTACTTCTACTGCGGCACAGGAAATACAGTGACAGGTACATAGCTTTCTTAAGGTATTCCTTAAGGCATTACTTACCTTCTTACGTTACTCCAAGATAGTATATAACTTCATTATATAGTCGTAAAAGAAATACTTGTTTGAAAGGAGCCCTGCATAGGTTAACATAAAAAGCCAAGTTATTTCCAATTATCCAACATTACCAGTAGCATTTTACTCCATTAATTTCTGTACCACTTAATCTTTTAAACAGGCACTTGACTTTTAGTAACATGAGCACTTTTTACTTGGTTAATTTTTATATTATAGGAAACTGTGTGTTGTGAAAGAATATGAAAAATCATCCGTTGTTTAGAGATTACATGTCATGCTGTTGCAAAGAACACGCGAATAGGCTTTGAAGACGTTTCCAATGCGAAACACTTGGTAAACTTAGAAATATATGTAGTACTCCTTTTCCTTTCAACAGGCCCTTTGCTTTTGACCATACATAAAAAAATCGATTTTCCGCTTTATGCATTTTCCGATAGTACTGCATCTGGAGAATGCGCGCTGAAAATATTACACTGAAATGTCACAAATTGATAGTTCTATAATAGCAGAAGAGTTTCAAAGCAGTGTATAAAGCAATTGTGCAGGTGGTAGAAAATTGTCATGAAAAATGTAGTCACGGACTTGTTTCTGCGAAATTCTGCACGATAAACATGTCTCACAAAATGATTTATCACAGTGAATATATAGAAAACAACACTGTTATTTTGAGTGCTATTGATGGTAAATTTTAATCAAGTAGTTACGGCGCAGTTTACGAACGGTCATAGAAATTACTTTTTATATAGAAACGATAATTTTTAATTACGGTACCTACTCATTTGTCGCATCAAATCATCATATTAAAAATTTTCGAGGCCTTGAGAAAATACGAAACCTCCCGTTTAAATATTTTGATGTACACAACCATATCGTAAATCATACGCTAATATAATACATTAATACAATAATAATCTTAGGATAACTCCCCTAAACGTATTACCCAATTAATTACCCTTTATATAGGCAATAAGAGAACGATGTAAAACCGGAAGTCCATCCTAAGCCAATAGGCGAGGATTATGTACAATAAATAATAAATAAACGAAAAGTACTCGTTATTAATCAGATTTTGCTCGTAGTTCTTTACGTCGTAATTGAGAAGCATTATTTCTATTTTTTTGTACCAAATGTAAATCAAAAGTCAATATAATATATAGAGGTCATATTAGAACGAAAAAAAGAAAGAAAATATAGAAATCAGATTGCAATGGCAAGGTGGTGTTACAGGATTATGGTTAGTTACAGGGTGGTGACGGAGGTCGCAGGAAATAGTGAAGCTGTTACATTGAGCGGTCTCAGAGCTGATACACAGTATCAACTTGTCGTCACTGCTGTGAGAGCCGGCAAAAGATTTCGAAGTCGACCAATCGTCTTCCGTACACTTGGTAAGTTGTTCTTATTTAATCTTTCTTTTCGAAAACTATACAGAAGATATCGTAATTATGCAGAATAGGGCATATCTCAGCGATTTTAAGAGCCTTGATTTATATTATCAGAATCATGATCCTAAGTAACTCTCAATGAAATAGAAATTAAAATAAAATTTCAAATAAATTACCCATTATTAATGGCACTTATTGATAGCACCTTACAAGTACACGTTTAAAGGTGTGTATTATTTACTGGAATGTTTTAGAGCCACCACGAACATCCTTTCCCCCGGAACAAGCGATAACAGGCGGTCCCCTTCCACCTCCTCCACCCTCTTCTCAACAACCACAACCTTACATACAAGTAAGTTCAGGAATACATAGTTGCTCGAACAATCTCAACTAATTACATACCTTTTTATCTCTTAAAAATCTGAAAATATCTCTAAACTCGTGAAATTTTGAAGTCTCCTATATATCTGCTTTATATTTTCAGAAAGAAATATTTTTTGTGTTTTCTCCTATTTTCGTTCACGTAATTATTCGTCTGTTGTTCCAGTTCTTCTTTCATTCGTTATTCTCACTTCGAATAGAAGGTACCTAAATCTAAATGCAAATAGAAATCCTGTTGACCGAGTCGTTGAAAAATTAGACGCGTAAAATGAACATCGAAGGAACGTCTAAATTACAGGTCCGTGGCGTAGAAGTGGGGATCGTGGTGTTAGTGTTGATTTTTTGGGCAGGCGCGATAGCGCTGTTCTTCAATCGTTGGGGAAAGATTCGCATGTTACTGCCGTATCAACCCGATTACAAGGAACAATTGAAGGTTCCCGGGACTGGGGTATGCGCAGCGGCGAACGCTGCATACACGCAACATCCGACTCAACACACCTGCTCTCAGGTAACGCATAACTATACATCCTATTTCGCTACTTCGATCTTCCACTAGATAGATACAAAAAAATCGCAAATATGCGATTTAATCTATTCCAAATAGCTAGGCTTACTTTTCCAGGAGAATAGCAGCGGCTGATTTTTTTTTATAGTTGTTTATATAAAATTCTGTGATAGTTTCTCTTGAAAAGGAATTATACCTACATATAGTTTTAATGAATATCTACCAAATTCATTTCTGTACAAAAATAATCGATTAACACTAACCGTACCGGCACTTCTCATATACCAATTCTTATCGTAACCGGTCGTTTGATCGGTTACGAAATAGACGTTGTTTCTTCGAAAGAAATTCTCAATTTATAGGAAACAATTCACAGCATAATTTTTAAATAATAATAAAATAATGAATCATATGTTTTCATTTTTATATGTTATATGAACAAGAGATGATAATCGAACAAATCATCCTCACTTTCAATTTGCTCATTTTTAGACTTAGAATTTCGTCCGTCTCAACAGCCCTCTCTTATATTTTGTATGTTTTTCAATGAATTTCTCGCTGAACGTGTAGACGTAGTCAGAGATAAAACAAAATACAGAACCAATGTACTGAATATTATGAGATTTGTTCACTCCTTGTCGTATTTGATTTCTCATAGGCTTCGGCCTGCACTCTGTGACTCTCAAAATGATACTGCATTTAGATTTCGTTTAGCAACAGAGAACTCATTATGGAGGGAGTATATTCTTGAGAAGTATTTCTTGAGAGTCTCCGACAAGACTCCGTTGTGTTTATGCGTTACCTGACATGGATTCCGTCAGATTATTCAAGTGCTTAGCCAAACACACACCGCATTTAGATGTATGCAACTACAGCTGGTTAGATCTTATTTGAGTTCAGAGTTAAGGTTCCAGGCAAAAAACTTTAGAAAAACATGTAAATTTGTCGCGGTAAACAAGCCAGACGATGAATTTTTCATAGTAAAAAAAGAAGCAAACAAAGAGATTGAGAAATTGATTAATCGAATAATATAAAAATTTAGGTAAAATTAGATGAACAAAAGAAGTAACAATGAACGTACAATTTTAAATTAAATTTTGAAACCATTTGAAATTTGACCGGACCTGGTAAGGTTAGTGTTAATTTAATTTACTAACACAGTGCGACAAAATATCCTTCTTATTTGTTAATTTATTATTTGTTAATTTCGAAACGAAAATTATTATTGAATTATTATTGAAACATATGATTTTCTTGATTAGCAAAACATTCGAAATATCAGCTTTCCGGGAATTATACGAACCGGATAATTATAATATTAATTGATAATAATATTAAATATGGAAATTTGAAATAAACTAAAAATATACACAGCGTTCCAGGATTAGGTTTAGGTTTAGCAAAGAATACATTGGCATTGTTGTGCTGAAAAAGACCCTATATAATTAAACTACGTTTTAAATTATATGTTTGACGTACATTAATCTACTCGATCGATTAATTGTCGGTATAATTTCCTTCGAACTGTAAACTGTTCCTTCCAACTGTAAAGAACAGTTACAACTGAATTATCATTTATATCACTTTAGTAGCATTATCATTCTTATGTAATCGATACATATTTTTCCTTTTTACATAATATAATAGAATAAACGTCGAACGATTGTCAAACTATGAATTTTCGAACAACTCGATATATTTAAATAAGATCTTTTTATAGCACGTTTATACTTGTATACACACATGAAGACATTCAAACTCTAATTGCACAGCAGGATGCAATACATTTAAAAAATTCAATCTGGCATCCTTTGAATACAATTGAGAGACATGTACGTTTATGTGTGTATCGATAAATTCCCGAAACAATATCATCGAACGATATATATAAATTGCACGGCTACTCAGATATCGGTATTCATATCGGGCGAACGTTATTTCGAAGTGATTCATATGCGTAATTTAACATACGAATTAAGAAATGTTTAGACGTATCAGAAGTATCGATTTAATTAGATGGTACAGAGATTTAATTGGACAGTGCACGTAATCGCAGTAACAGACGGGACATCCGCTTCCAGCGAAAGCTGTATGTCAAAAAGACGTATCGGATCGAATATTGAACCGAGAGCTATATTTTCGTTTAAGCGGTGCCCACTTGTCTACGTCTAACTTCAGTTTCGGAATACGATCTCCGCAAATTGACGGTATATACGTATGGTTATTTATAGACTAATTGACGCGCAGGTAGCTTGAAGTATTAAAAATCAAGGAGTGAAACGATGCTTAAAACATCACCGAAAAACTGTAGATTATTCACGTGAAACTCACATAAGATACAAGTGACGTACATCTTGGTTCTGTAACGACAAAGTAAAAATGAAGAACAGTTTTATAAGAGTCTAATAGAACTTGGATAGTTTTAGTAGCAACAAAAACCACGATAAAATTATATAATATATAATGTTAATAATATACCAATGAAATACATTTGAATGTATTGACTGATTTTTGGAAACTGTTGCGTGAAAAATATTAGATTCTAAAGTATAAATTAACAACCGTATTATGGCTCTCTTTTTTATTACATTTTTATAACATCGCAATATTACAGCAGGATATGATTTCATTTATTTATATCATTCAGCCAGTAAAAATTCCAAATAAAAATCTACCTGATACACACAGATAGATATAAACCACACTATAGTCTTTGAATACAATGAAAGACTATCGATTATTGATTAGTCTACTGCTGTTACTATTGTCGGCATAGATTTTGGCAATAGCTTTCAGCTATCATGCTCAATAATCATTGGAAAGCTAACTTCTCTGAATGTAGGTCGCAAATTAATTGAAATTCAGACTGATGAATATCCTGCGCACAATATTATGGATTTCAACACGGAAATTCTCTGTTTGAAGAAAATATAATCTACTCTTAATGACTACAAAACGACCCCCTTGTCCCATTAACACGCAAGGTTAACTTTAGTTGCAGCAAAAATTTGTGCAAACGTTACGACGAAGAAACATCGATCGTGTTCTAAAAACAAACTTCACTGCAAAATTTCTATTCCGTTAAATTTATTTCATACAAATCAACCGAAATGAAATTGTGTCGTGACCATTCATTGAAGAACACTAACAAGAAAAGTTCGGCAACTCGAAAATTCAAAAACATTTGGAACTTTGCGCAATTGTAGTTCATGGACGTTAATAACGGAACAATTTCTTTTTCTTGCTGGAAAACGATCTTAGGAGTGAAAACAGCCCCAAAGAAATTTAATTGACTGTTCATATTACCGTAAATATTTAAGAAAATATACAAGATACAGAAAAAGTACAAATGAAGTACAAATTGTAATGTTCTTCGGAGAACTCTATACAAATATTTACTGTTTGTATGATTTTCATCAGACGAATTTTAATATGTAAATAAAAATTTTATAAAAAAGGGAATAAAAAATAAACATTGCTATATCACTATGCTTGTAGATATAAGAAGTTATGTATATAATTTAATATAACTAGTTTAATTTAATTAATACAAATAATTTGCATCAGCTAGCGCAGCTCGGCAAGAGCTCGCGATCAGCGTTGCATGTTACACTCTTCGATCCTGTGTGTTCAAAAATTTTGTTGTTTCAAATCATTCGTATATTTATAAAAAACTCCTTGGAGACTACGCGCATGACAAAAAGAAATAAAACTTCCAAAAATTATGGCTGGTGAGAGAATAATTTTGAAAACATTTTTTTTTAGTTTCTCATATCCACAATATAGGCCACAAAGAAAAAGTCGAAATTTCTTCGGGGGGTGTTTTCATCTCTAAGACTGTTTTCCAGCAGGAAGAAAGATTATTCCGTTATTAGCATCACATGAACTACGTTTGTGCAAAGTTCCAAATATTTTTGAATTTTCGAATTGAACTTCGAGAACTTCACTTGTAAGGTGAATTTGTAATCCCTAAGGGAACATGTATTGCGGTTACGCTTACTGACGGTGCAACTACAGTTCCAGAACGTTCTAAGTTATCTAAGCTAAAATACTAGTTTCTTACTAAGTTTATAAAGTTCAAGGATAAAAAAAAGTTTTAGTGATAGAATACGATTACATCTACTGTTTTTAGTTATTTTACTAAGTCGTCAACGTGAATTTTAGTTAATTTGTACATTTTCTCTCGATATGTACATATCGACATTTATAATAGAATTATACCCTCGATCAATTCTAAGTCGGTTTATTCGAACTACTAATTCGTTTCTCCGAAACAAGATGCAAATAATATTACGCAAAAGGTAGAAATTTATTCGATCGTATTAATCGAGTAATACAATATATAGTTTTCTTGAATCACGAATTCGAGTATTTAACATTTATTTCACTCGTAGACACTATGTATATTTACTCTGATTACTCTTTATTAATATATATTAGATATAAAGCCGCACTTTTTCGAAATAACAATCCGAAATCTGGAAGTAGAATATTTGGTACCGAGAACAATTTCGTTATTTACGAATTTACAATCGACGATTTTTAACAAAAAAAAAAAAAAAAAAAAAAAAAA